ACAAAAAAAAACCATAAAATGACAGAAGTGCATCATCCAACAGGAACTAGCTTGAATGTCCAGTGAAAATGCAGTAAGTGGCAGCTTGGATAAAAAGACATGACCCATTTATATGCTGCTTATCCAACACAGTGTGGGTTTAAAGACACAAACTGAAGGAAGTGATGTGGAAAAGGATCTTTCATGCAAATAATAAACAAAAGACAAGATGTGGCTCTGATTCCAGAGGATGAAGATGGGTTGTTTGTTGTTGTTGGTGTTATTATGTGCCGTCAAGTCGCTTGCGACTCACAGCGACTCTAAACGCTGCTCTATCTTGTGCCAATCGAACTGCTTCTGACACACCCATCCCGATTACCCCAGTCACTGAATCAATCCACCTCAGAGGGCCTTCCCCTCTTGCGCCATCCCTCCACCCTCCCAAGCATGATGTCCCTCTCCAAAGCCTTGTCCCTCCTTACAACACATCCAAAGTATGTCAGATGAAGCCCCAGAATCCTTGTCTCCAAGGAACAGCCTGGTTTAACCCTCTCCAGGGTAAACTGGTTTGTTTTCTTGGCAGCCGTTCATACATTCAATACTCTTCTCCAGCACCACAGCTCAAAGGCATCAATTCTCCTTCTATCCTCCCTAGTGATTGTCTCAACTCTCTGATGCATAACAAGTGATTGCAAAGACCATAGCCTGTATCGGATGCACCTTAGTCTCCAAAGTGACACCGTTGCTCTTCAGTACCCTGGATAGGTCCCTAACAGCAGACACTTTCCCATCGCAATACGTTTTTTGATTTCCTAGCTGCTGGTGGCAAGAGTGTTGACTGTGGAGCCAAGCAGACTAAAGTTAACAATCTCACTCTCTTCACCATCCATCCTGATACTGCAAATTGGTCCAGTGGTGAGAATCTTTGTCTTCTTGATATTGAGCCTCAATCCATACCCAAGGCTGCAGTCCTTGACCCTCGGCAGCAAGCGTTTCAGGTCCTCCTCAGTTTTAGCAAGCAACATTGTGTCATCTGCATAAATGCAGATTGTTGATATATCTTCCACCAATCCTGATGCCACACTTCTCATAGAGCCCAACCAGCCTCTCGGATAATCTGTTCTGCATACAGGATGTTTAGCCATACTAAAATAATGCTTACTAAAAGTAGAAAAACAAAATCACTGATGTAAAAAAGATTCCTACTCGTGGCAACTTTCCATCAGGTTTCCACAGCTGTCAATCTTCCAAGGGCAGATACTGTCTCTCAAAAATAAGGACACAGTGACTACAAAAATGGGGTTAAGAACAGCAGAGCTGTAAGATGCTACAGGACGGGCAGTGTGTCATCCTGTTGTACACCTGGTCGCTAAGATTTGAGACTGACTTTATAGTGCCTATAACAACATAAAATGTCCATGTAAGTATAGATATTTGTAGTTGATGTTATGTGACCTCAAGTTGAAATAAACTGCCAGCTGACTCACAGCTGATCCTCAGTAGGTTTCCAGAGGCTGTATATCACACAGAAGGACACTGTCCATCTTCCTCCTGCAGAACAGCTTGTGTACTCAACATTGCATGGCCTTGAGTTGGCAGTGCAACTCCTTCCCACAAAAGCTACCAAAGCTCCCTGTGTCTATAAAAAGGAAAGATATTTAGTAGGCAGAATGACGGTTTAGAGCACAGGATGGTATGAGTGTCAGGAGTCTGGTAAGATTAATTGCTCAACTAACAAAAAGGTAAGTGGTTCAAACGTGTCCAGAAGGATCTCAGAAGACAGGCTTGATTATCTACTTCCAAAAAGCAAACCTGAAAAACCTATGCAGCAAAGATTTACTCTGCAACTCAGGTCACCAGGAGTCAAAAGTGACTGGGCAGCAACTCACTACTAGTTAGGGAGTCAGTTCAATAGTACAGGGGGCTATTGTTGGTAGGTGCTGAGCCAGCCAGTAGGCCTGCACCATCTTCACCTCACCAGAGGTCCCAAGAGCCAGCCATCGGGCATGACCTGGGGGTCTGCACAATATCTCTACCACCACACCCAACTCCTGGCCTCAAGTCCAGGGCCTGGAGCCACAGAGGCCCTCAGTCACCACCACACTGTTAATAACGCCAACGAGCTCAGACAGAGCCAGAGATGGCTGTACCACGACATGATACTGTCAGCCTGCTTGTATTATAGTTTGCTCTTAGGGCTATAAAACTTATCTGTCAGTTTATTATGTTGTGGAAATGATTTGCATGTTCCTACTTATTTTGTAATTTGGATATGTATACACTTGCTTGTTAATCATTTGCTCCTATGAGTACAGCACTTGTCTGTCTGTATGCTGTCCTGGGGTGACCTGTTGTTTCAAATGCCAACAGAGTCAACTATGATGGACAGGTTGTAATGGAGCTCCCAGTTTAAGGCACACTAGGAAGCAGGATTAGCTATCCACTTCTCAAATAACAGGCTTTCAAACACCTTACGAACAGTAGAGGAACACTGTTAAGACATAGTACTGGAGGTAGAGTCCAATATTGGAAGTCACTCAAAATGAGCAGAAACAGCTGTAAACACCCAATAATAATTGGAACGTGCAATGTATGGAGTATGAATCTAGGAAAACCAGATGTCAAATGTGTAAAGGAATGCTTAAAGATCAACATTCTAGGTATTAGTGGGCTCAGATGAACTCATATTGGTCACTTTGAATCAGACAATCATGATCTATTACGCCAGAATAAAAATTACATGGGGTAGATGAAGCTGTATCTATGAGCAACACAGCCTGATGAAGGTATTTTAGAGTAAAAAAAGGGAACAGAGAGGCTGGGAGAAGGTTAGGATAGATGTCTAAAGAAGATTAACCAGTAAAGAGTTAGTAACATTAACAAGGAGGGGTCATCAGATTAACAAGTAAGGTGATTGCAAGTCATTAGGACTAATAGCATCCCTATGAACCTTATCCTATTTTGTTCCAGCTTCATAATCTTCAACATGCTTGAGGCAATTGCTACCGTCAAAGAGGTCAGTAAAGGGTTGCTGTTCTTAGGTGCCATTCATAGCAACCTTATGAACAACAGATCTGAAACCTATCCTATCCTGTTCCATCCTCATCATCTCTGACACTTGCGCATGTGCTGCAGTCACTGTATCAATCCATCTCATTGAGAGTGTTCCCCTTTTTGCTAACCTCCCACCTTTCCAAGTATGATGTCCCTTTCCAAGGAATGGCCTCTCCTAGCAATATGCCCAAAGTGAAATGAAGCTTCTCCATCCTTTGCCTACCAGTAAAGGGAAGGCCATAAAAAAGATCAGTAACTAAAAGGCAGGCAAAAGTAAATGAAAGACGTGACAGAGACACAATCAATATATACTGTGTGCATACAATACATATTAGAAATATGTTAGAAATTAGAAATTAGCCTTCACCAAAAGGCAGGGTACTTCTTTCTACCCTAAAAAGTAAAGAAAATGAGTAGGGTTAAACTAATAAATAAAGTTGTTCTCTTCAAATTTCTCGTTAATACATGGAAGTACTATATGCTAGAGGAGTGTCTGAGGCAAGTAATGAGGTTTTAATAGCAATGCTAGTAACAAGGAGCAGGGCCTATTAACAAAAGACTCATGCTGAGGGCTCATCTAAAGTGGAAAGACACTTGCAAAGATTCCTCTCTGAAAGGTGCATGAAGTTCAAGTGGAACTGAGCATCCCACAAAAAGTGGATGACAGGATTCATTCAATGCTGAGAGTCTGCAAAATGACTAGCTGGAAGGACATGGGGAAGAGGAACTGAAGGAACCAGCAATCTACATGTGACCCCACATGGCTAAGGCTATACACAGAAGGAGTAACTCTGAAAGAGGCTGATAACTGAGGAAAAAGAAGATAAAACAAGAGAAGAAGGTTGGGGAAAAAGCTAAGGAGATGGTAAAATTGAAAGCAGGAAAAGAAAAATCAACAAGAACAAGGCAAATGGAAAGCTGGAAAGGAAGTGGTCATCAGTTAATGGACTACTGATGTAAGATTTCAGAAAGAGAAACCTGATCAAGAGTTAAGACGTAGCCATGGGAGTGTGTTGCTGGAATCTGACAAAGTCATTGGTGTAGAAGTAGAGAAATGGCACCGAAAGTATCAAAAAATAGATCCTTCCACCAATGACAGAAGGCGCTGAGGTAGACAGAAAGACGGGATCAAGACAACAAGGTAGGTGCTCTGGTCCTTTACTACCAAAGGAAAGATAAAAAAACAGAAAGTAAATTTTAATACAGTATCAACTGTCTAAGTATCAGATGTCCAAGGACAAAAGAAGTAATAGTAACGAACTAATCTACCTTGGTTTTTAATCATCATTAACACGTTGCCGCAAATGACGGCAAATGTGTTTCTAAGCACAGTCGTCAATTTCAAAAGTGTGTGGCAACGTGTTAATGATAGCATAAACCATGCATGCACTGTCTTTTAAATAAAATAAGAAAATAATTTTAAGCTTTTTATAAAATATCTACTAGAGTTAAAAATTTAATTGCCATTAGTAGTTCACTAAACATTATTTCTTTGAGAACTCTTGTCATTATTTACCTAATTTTGAAGATGAAATCTGAATATTAATCCTAATTTTTCATTTTTGTTTTACATTCAGAGTATAGTGAAATAAATTATTTAACCTGATTATAACTCTGACATATATCAATATAGAGACTAATAAATAATCTAAAGTAATAGAAAAATAATCTTAAAAAAACTAAATGCAGTTCCTCCTCATTAGTTACCGATAACTGTAGTTCAGGCTAAGTTAAATTAACAAGTACATTATTTTCGAAATTAAAGAATTACTCCCTCATCAAATGAAGAATATATAATAAAAGATAGTGCTGGCTTTTAAAAGTGGGTTAACTATGCAGGATGTCTTTACGTAGTGTAATGTTATAAAAATCAATGTCAGCATGTCTTCTTCTCTAGAACTTTACCATTTCATGGTTCTTTTTTGTCTGTTTATGTTTTTGTCTATTTAAAAAGAACAGATAACTTACTAGTTATGACAATACTGAAAGAAATCTAAAATTTGTTTTGCATTTGTTGTATTCCATTCTTGTTCTTTCAGGGGTCCTTCACACACAGATACGTACTTTTTCAAAATTTTCTCCCCTACTTCTCGGAAGTCCAAGGGTTCTTTCTGTGTACTACAGCTTGCTCCAGAGGCACCAGTATCTACGTCATTATTTTCTTTATGTTGACCTGCACAATACTTCAATCCCCAGTAACACATTTCGCCACTGTACATCATAGCCAGCAAATGAATGTCACTGAAGATTCCTGAAAAAGTCAATTAGGTTAAAAGATTAGAATTTAAGTGATTTTTTTTTTTTTAAAAAAAAAACCTTACATTTCTTACTAATTGTTTTAAATCATTAAATACTTTTCCTTGTCATATAACAGAAACTAGAAAAGTCAAATATTTCTAACGCAATGCTTGTTTCATTGGCACTTTTATCTCTTTTTTTATTTTTAAAAAGAAAAGGCTGGTCATAAAACCAAACTACCACAGAATTATTTTTTTAAAAAAAGTCGAGGGTAGTGCATCATTTCCTGGGTGTCCTCTGTACAGCCTCTCTGAGATCTAATTTATAGAATGTCCCTCACAACAAAACCTAAAATACTGTCCACAATTCTAGAGTACTCACAGGCTCCCTAAGTCCCATCCATCAACAGAACTTTGAGTGGGAGGCATCCTCTGTGATCAGTCATAAAGTCACTTATTCTCTTCCTACCTTTTTTTTCCCCTACAACATCTACAGGAACTAAGTTAAAATCTTCCAAGTCTATCTCTACCAGCTTCTTCTCTGCTTTTGCCTGCCTCCCCAAACACCATTCCTAGTCCTCCTCCAGTTACCATCACAGCCCAACAGTCACTTGTACAGGAGGCCCAAGCATAGGCTCAACTACCAGGTATAGGAGGCCTAGTTTGGGTGTCCACTCCTCACCTCTGGTAGATCTAGAGGTGTCTTTCAGGTCATCAGCAGCCTTGAATGGGAGATGGGCCACCCTCCCTCTGTGTTTTAAGGATAGAGTTCAACAATTAAAATTTCCCTATCTAGCAAAGAACTTCATAGAAACTAAAGAAGCCCTTGTGCCACAGCGGATTAAGTACCTGGGCTCCTCCAACTCTCCAGCCACCAGATGAAGAAAATGAAGCACACTACTTTCTAAGACTTGGAAATCCTAAAGAGTTGTACTTTGTCCTACACGGTCACTATACCTCAAAATTGACCCAACGGCAATGAGGTGGAATGTTGTTGTTGCTTTTGTGTGCCCTCAAGTAAAAATCAATCCATAGCTGACCCTCCAGTGGGTTTCCAGAGGCAGTAAATCACTCAGGAGAAAATTGTCCATCCTTTTGCCTTGGAGCAGCTGGCTGATTCAAACCACATGCCTCTTGGACTGCAGTGCAGGTTCTTACCACTAGGGGCCCCATAAATCCTGTTCCCTATTAATAATTCTAAATTTCCTTAAAATCTTACAGAATTATCAATGTATATGCTTGTCAAACAGTTAAATGATGTATAAATGTATTAAGTTTTGCATATTTAAATTTTTCATTTCATAATCATAATGCTTATTGTTTTAGTTAGCTACCATCAAGATTCTCACCACTGGATGGCAGCATCAGGATGGATGGTGAAGAGATTGAGAGTGTTAACAACTTTAGTCTGCTTGGCTCCATGGTCAACACTCTAAGCACTAGCAGCCAGGAAATCAAAAAAAGGAATTGCGATGGGAAAGTCTGCTGTTAGGGACCTATCCAGGGTACTGAAGAGCAATGGTGTCACTTTGGAGACTAAGGTGCATCTGATACAGGCTATAGTCTTTGCATCAGAGAGTTGGACAATGACTAGGGAGGATAGAAACTTGTTATGCATCAGAGAGTTGGACAATGACTAGGGAGGAGAGAAGGAGAATTCTCCCAGCCAGATGCCTGAAGCATGTAAGACAGAGGTTCAAAATCCAAGCATCCAAGGAGAAACTTGGTTTCACACACTTCAAGACAGACTTATTTGTGTTCTTGGCGGTTCATGGTATGTTAAAGACTCTTCTCCAGCACCACAACTCAAAGACATTTTTTTTTCTTTTCATTAGTTTATTTACAAAATTCTAATACAAATTTGAATATTCTTTCAATTTCCCTCAGGCCCCCACTCATCAAATTGTACAACCCAATGATTAATCTCCTCTTCTCCCTGTACATCCTCATCCCTCTGCTTCCAGCCTCTCCCACCCCTCCTGGATCCTTATACTCACTCTACAATAATGGTCAAAGACATTGATTTTTTTCCCCGTCATCCTTAGTCACTGTTCAGCTCCCTGATGCATAGCAAGTAATTCCGAAGACCATGGCCTAGACAAGGTGAACCTTAGTCTCTAGATTGGCATTGATTTTCAGTGCTCTGGAGCGGTCCCTGACAGCAGATTTTCCCAGTGTAATTCATCTTTTGATTTCCTGACTGCTGGTGCCAAAAGTGTTGATTGGAGAGCTGAGCAAGCAGAAACTGTTAACAACTTCAATCTCTTCTCAATCTATCATGTTGCTGTCAACTGGTCCAGTGGTGAGCATCTTTGTCTTCTCGATGTAGAGCTTCAATCCATATTGCAGACTACAGTCCTTGACTTTCTGGAGCAAGTGCTTCAGGTCCTCCTCAGTTTCAGCAAGCAAGATTGTGTCATTTGCATAACATAGGTTGTTGATGAATCTTCCTCCAATCTTGATGCCACATTCCTCCTCATAAAGCCCTGCTTCCTCAATGATCTGTTCTGCATATAGATCGAAAAGGTGTGGAGACAGGATGCATTCCTGACATAGTCCTTTCCTGATTTTAAACCATGCAATGTTCTGAGGACTGCTTCCTAGTCCAAGTATAGGTTTCGCATACTGTACAATCAAGTGTTCCTGGACTCCCATTTTTCCTCAAGGTTAGCCATAATTTGTTGTGATCCACACAGTCAAATGTCTTTGCATAATCAATGAAACGCGAATCGACATTCCTGTGGTACTCTTTGTTCTCTGCCAAGATCCATCTGACACTGGCAATAATGACTCTAGTGACCCGACTTCCTCTAAACCCAGCTTGTATTTATGGTAGTTCTCTGTCAATGTGCTGTTCCAGTCATTTATGGATAAACGTCAGCAGGATTTTACTTGTGATAGTAGTGATATTGTTTGATAATTTCTACACTCCTTCAGGTCACCTTACTTTGGAATGGGAATATGGACTTTGTCTAGTCAGTTGGCCAGATATTTGCCCTCCAGATTTCTTGACACAACCTGGTGATAACTGGTATTCTTTCAAATCCTGGGCCTTTATTTTTTGCCAAGTCCTTCAGAACAGCACGAACTCCCTCCCTCATCACCACTGCTTCTTTTTTTAAAAAGAATTATTATTATTAATTTTAATGAAAATTTACAGAGACTTTGGATTTCCATTCATTCATTGTTGCACTTTTCTCCCTGCCCACCCCTCCTCACCCCAGTACACTCTTCTCTTTGAAAAGTAAAAGGAAAAAATCTTGCATTGTTTTACAATCCCTCCCTCCCAGGTCCACTCCACTACGCAGCTTTTGTTCTGAACTTTTATCCCATCTTTCTCAGTCTCCCCCCAACCTCGACGTCAGTCCTGTTTTACAACAGTGGCACTACGCAGTATTTGTCCTTTTGTGACTGAGATATTTCACTCAGCCAATTCTTTTTGGTACAGTGACTCTGTATACTTCTTCCATCTACTTTTAATGCTTCATGAATCATTCAATATTCCGACCATAGCATCCTTAAGCATTGCAATTCACGGCTTGGATTTGTTCTTTAGTTCCTTCAGCTTAAAAAATGCTGAGTGGAGAAAAGGGCAACAACAAATGAATAGAAACCCAAAATCTCTGTAAATTTTCATTAAAATTAATAATAATTCTATCATAAAAAAAATTTATTATTTTTGTGTGAGTGTACCGTCAAATCAGATCTGACTGGTACAGGAGGAGATTGTCCCTCCTTCCCTGGCAGAGTATCTGGTGGATTCAAACCGTGAAACTCTGGGATTGTAGTTGCAGCTCCTTGCCACTAGGCCACCAGAGCTCCCCGTAATCTTGAAAACATTAAATCATTGAATAATGTTCAAATGGTTAAATGCTGAAAGTGATTACTTATGGAACAGAAGTATACTTGGGTACTTGTTGATTGCCTTCAAGTCGAGCAAGACTTAGAGTGATCCTATGAACAAAAGGCCTGAAGCTCCTTTACAACTATCGACATTTCTTAAAAGTCATAGTTTCTGGAGATATGTTGTTTAGAAAGTCAATGCCACTCCTGCTTCCAAACCTTGATACTACTTACATAAATTTAAACTTAAGGTAAAATATAAACTATAAACTTAAAAAATATAAGGTAAAAAAGATTATGATCTCTGAAAATGTATCTCCTTTTACTTAGAAAATAGCAAGAAGCTGAACTGTAATCCCAGAGGTAGGCAGTTTGAATCCACCAGATGCTCTGCTGGAGAAGGAGGGGCAATCTCTTCCTGTACCAGTAAGATCTGATTTGACAGTACATACACAAAAAATAATAAAATAAAATAAAAATTTAAAAAAAAATTAATAATAATAATAAAAAGTTGAGCAAGTTCAGCCCTTTTGATTTTCCAACTCTAGCTCGTGCACATTCATTATAACATTTTGCCTTGGCTTCCTGAGCTGCCCTTTGAAATCTTCAATTTAGCTACTTAACTTCTACATTTCTTCCCTTTGCTTTGGCTTCTCAGCATTCTAGTGCAATATTCAGAGTCTCTTCTGACATCCACTTTGGTCTTTTCTTCTTTCTTTGTAAAGACCTTTTGCATTTTACTGCCTCTGAAAAGCTGAGAGAGGATCAGCTATAGACCAGTTCTAACTCAAAGATATATAACAACAACAATTAGTTCTCTAGTTATCTGGAACAAATATTTGCCACAAATATATCAAAACACTCCATGGTTTTTTGGTTTATTTTGTTGTAGTTCTTTTCTGTTGTTTTTGTTAACTGTGATTTTAATGAGAGTTTACAGAAAAGTTATATTTTCATTCATTCATTGATGAACATTTTCTTACCTACACCCTCAGGTAATTTTCTTAAAAAAATATTTATTCAGGGAGCTCTGGTGGCCTAGTGGCAAGAAGATGCACTGCAATCCCAGAGGCGCACGGTTCAAATCCACCAGATGCTCTGCCGGGAAAGGAGGGACAATCTCCTCCTGTACCAGTCAGACCCAATTTGACGGTACACACACACACACACAAAATAATTTAAAAAAAATATTTATTCATTGTTACATAATTTCCTCCCTCCCTATGTCCCAGTTTACTCTGCTATGTACCTCTTATTCTAGAGTGTTGTCATACAATTAATGCCTAATCATATATTCCTTTTTTAGAGAGCACTGGTGGCCTAGAGGCAAGTAGCTGCACTGCAATCCCAAAGGCATGCAGTTCAAATCCCCCAGCTGCTCCACAGAGAAGGATGGGCAGTCTCCTCCCTTGTGATTAACTGTCTCTGAACACCAGCAGGAGGGTCAGCTCCAACTTGATGCTAAACAATAACAAATTCCTTTTAAAAGTTCTTTCATCTGTTTTCCAATGCAGTGTTCATTATCTATCTCCTCTTAAGTTCCACCTCAACTCCCATGTCAGTCCTGTTTTATAACAAAGAAGTTACACAATATTTGTCCTTTTGTGACTGAATTATTTCACTCAGTATAATGTCCTCCAAGGTCACCCAGGTTGTGTAATATAGTGTGAGTTCCTTGGTTTTCAGTGCTGTGTAGTATTCCACTCTGTGAATATACCATAGTTTTCCTATCCATTCATTTGTTGATGAACACTAGTACTGTTTCCATCTCTTTGCTATTGTGAATAATGCAGCAATAAACATGAATGTGCATATATTTGAGTAGAAGCTCTGATTTCTTTAGAGTATATTCCTTTTAGTGGAATTTCTGGGTCAACTGGTATTTCTATTTTTAACTTTTTCAGAAAGTAAAAACACCCCATGTTTATAAAAACATGCTCAGGAAGGGAGCTCTTTCATCTCCAATAAGTGCACACATGTGTGTATATACGTGTGTGTGTGTTTGTGTTAGAATAAACCATTTATCCAAATTAATTTTTGGATACCGCTGGCCACTTCTGTGTTATGACAGTGGAACATCTACCTAAGAAAGAGGAGGATGTTCAAAAGGTTTAACATTGTAGACCTTTCCCTAATTTCAGATGATGTGTATTACCTAACATCACATGCCAATTACATGGCCATAAATAAGATCACCCTGTGTCATGGAACTTCAGGCCTGCCATTACTAAAAACTAGTTTAAGTGATTCTTCCTTTATTCAACTTCAGTCTTAAAATGAACTATTTACATGCATTCCCTAAAATTTTTAATTACACATATATTTTGGGAGGAAAAGTAATTGTTGCCATCAACTATCCTCTTTTTCTTAGTAAAGAAATAAGTAAAGAGAATACTGTATGACATAAAAATCTGATTAGTGACATTCCCCTAGCTCCTCTGCAGCTGGAGAACACTATCTGGTTCAATTCTGACCAGTTATAAGTTGATGAAATAGTATAACAACCTTTCAGTTGTCACAGCCTTTTCCATTTCTAAACCTGAAAAATGAGTGAGAGTGAAAGCACTCTAGGAGCATCCTGGGATAATGGAAATGGAAGCCACAGACTTAACAGACATGCCATGCTCACAACTCCAGGGACCTTTCATTTATACAGTTTCTATATGAAAGGTCTCGCTCTGAAGCTGAGGGGGTCTGGATCTACAGATGATGAAGTTAAAAGGTAAGAACCTGGTAGCACCATGGAGCCCTCATGCCAGCTATAGGTCCTTTTGACAGAAGGAACAGTAAATGTTTACTTCTTTAAAAGTACTTCTAGTCTTTGTTACAAAGAGATAAACCACCTCTGATATTTACCAGTTATGTGAGGATGCAAAATGACTAAAGACAAAAAGAAACATTAAGGAAGGAGATGTAAATCTTTAAATTTTTAAAAATACCTCATTATTTTTATATATACTCTAACTTGCATTCCTTAAAATTATTTTGTGAGTTTAACAAATTTTACATAAAAGTTAGATTTTTACTCATTTACTGTTGCACATTTTATTCCCTCTTACCCTCCCTTCCCCAGATCACTTTTTTAATATTAGTTTATTATTACACAATTACTTCCCTCCCCTTCCCCCAGTCTTCTTTGCAATGCATTTTAATGAAATCAGAGTAAAAGTCTAACAAACTTTCTAAAATCTTAAAAAAGTTTTAAATCTTTTCGAAAACTTCAAAAGATCACATTACCTTCACTCAGTAATTTAGCTGTCTCAAGGTCTTGAAAAGAAACTCCTTCATTTAACTGCACAGGGCATCGATAATTTAGCATTTGTAGCAAGTAACTGATTCCATCAACAAGGTACTAAATGAAAGTTAAAAACAAAGAATTGAAAGTATTAAATGCAGAACTGCAGAAATATTAACAGGTTTATCTATCTTTTAATCAAAAGAAAATGAGCGGAAATAGAAAATCTTTTAAATGTTACTTTTCAAAGATACAAAGACTCATCAATTATACTACTCAAGTTGCCTCAATGACTAAAAGAATATAGTTTTTAAAAAAATTAACCAAGGGGGGGTGGGGCCGCGGCGAGAGTCGCCTCTTGGCCTCCTTGGGCCCTAGTGCCGCCGCCGGGTCGCTGCGCGGGTCGCTGGCGCCATGAAGATCTGGACCTCCGAGCATGTCTTCGACCACCCCTGGGAAATGGTCACAACGGCTGCGATGCAGAAGGACCCCAACCCGAAGAACCCCAGCGCGGTGGGCGTCGACGTCCTGCACAGGCATGTGGGCCCCTCGGGCAAGCTGCACAGCCAGCGGCTTCTGAGCACGGAGTGGGGCCTGCCCTCTGTGGTGCGATCTCTTATCGGCAGCTCGAACAAAGACATATGTGCAGGAGGAGCATTCTGTAGTTGACCCAGTAGAGAAAACGATGGAACTGAAGTCCACTAATATTTCCTTTACAAATATGGTCTCCGTGGAAGAGAGGCACATCTACAAGCCTCATCCTCAGCACCCGGGCAAAACGATTCTCACTCAGGAAGCCATCATCATCGTCAAGGGCGTCAAGCCTCAGCAGCTACCTAGAAAGTCTGATGGCGAGTACCATCTCTTCCAATGCTAGTAAAGGTCGAGAAGCCATGGAATGGGTAATAAACAAATTAAACACTGAGATTGAAGAATTGATGGCCTCCACTAGAGGAAGCATAAGGACGCCGATGGCAGCAGCAGCACTTGGAGGGAAATGACAGTGGCACGAGGCACAGTGGCAGGCCCCAAGTCTCCAAGCCAGTGGTATATTTGTTGGTTATTGAAGAACTACAACTCTTGGCGAGCTCTGGTGGCCTAGTTGTAGGAAACTGCACTGCGTGGTTCAAATCCACCAGATGCTCTGTTGAAGAAGGAGGAACAATCGCCTTCTGTACCAGTCAGATCCAATTTGACGGTACACACATAAAAAGAATGAATGAATAAATAAATAAATGATTTTTTTAAAAAAAGAACTACAACTCTTTTAGGTGGACTTTTTTTTTTAAGTAAGCTGGAGAGTGTCTATGTGACTTTGATAAAAACAAAGAGGGGCAGGCCTTCAAACTAAGGGATCACTGAAAAAAATCGTGTTTGATGAGTCTAATTCCGAGGTATCCAGTGTTTTTGTGGAAATGTAACGATTATTGAAAAAGTGCACTGAAATTGATAATGCCATACTGAGTCTCCTAGAATTAAAGGGTGAAACTCCCGGGTTGTGGGAATTTTGCTGGGCTTTGACCAACACCATAATAAGGCCAGGCCACTCGGGTCCACAGGCTGCCGGCACTCACCGAGAAACTCACTTAAAGGGAAAAATTGGGACTTTTCAACGCAATATTGATTTGCCTCAATTATTCTGTTAAAACTAGTGTTTTGATTTGGTATTTTGGTGAGATTTCTCGAGAGAAACTTTTCACCAAAATAATCTATAATTCCAACAAGATAGGGTTCTGTTGTGTTTAAGAGTACTGTACTGGCTTGCCAATATTTGGTAACTTAGTCAAAAAGCATTATCCATTCATTAATTGCATCTGTAATGCCTTCCAGAGTCTTTTGATTTCGTGTGCTCTATATGGGCTGGTTAGGTTAATGGAAAAGTAGTCATTCCCTGAATTCTGCAGCTCTGTAAACTTCACAGATCAGCTGGGCACATCTTTTAGCATTTCACAGTGTGCCTAACTTAAGAGA